AGTGATGACGATCCTCCACATCACAGATTAGAGTGTATGAATGCTAATCAAACGTTTTACGCCGTAAAATTTACGGTATTCTTCAGCAACGAATCCCCCAATTATCATCAAGATCCCGCACAGATATCGCAAAGCAGTGCACGAATGATGACTTGTGGGATGGTTCGACGAGTTGATGTGAATACAAGCATAAACTTCACAGATGAGGTGAAAGGCGTTAATAATCGCCGAGTCGAGTTCAAATGTATTCAACCGGTCAACTGGAAAACTTCCTACAACGTAGCCGCTATGTCGCAGCCCGATGTTACAACTACTTAACTAGAATGGGAATGGCTTCGTATACACCACACACCGAGCCGATAAAAGAGATGATCATAAGAAGACCAAGTCCTGCTATCTTCATCATCATCATCCATCTGGAGCATTCCCGCGGCTCGCCCAAAAGAACGAGACGAATGTAAAATATCGAGGGATAGAAATTATGGATGAGTGAGTAGCAAACAGATCCTAGGAGGCCGACAAGACCTTCGAAGTTGGGCACGAATATAGCAGTGATAGCAGTAAAAGCAACCAAAGTGCTTCGAGCCAAATATGACTTGAAGAGTTGATGTTCATCAATCCGAAATGCTTCCTCAACGATACGACTGACTGGATTCAACAAGACGGCATAGTGAGTAAGACATAGCACCAAAATGCTAGAAATACATAGATATGCCTCCGGACCATATGTGGGTGTGCCCTCAGTGATAGCGTCAATGATATTATGGAATTTACTCAGTGACGCACCCCAACCAATGTAACCTGATAACGAAACTAGGAAGTACACCAATCCAAGAAGGCCAACTCCCCAATAGATGACGCGGCGATGGGCAGAAGCGTCCTTCATATCATGCAATACAGTGGTACTCGCGCATGTAACGGTATAAGCGAGAGTCATACTCCCGAATGATATCCCCAGTCCGAGAGCACTTTTCGGATACGGTTCGTAAACAGAATCAATCCCAGCATCATCATCCGCGGCTCGAACAAAACCTGCGTAGATAATGGTCACCATGAGGATGATGACCGAAGCTGTGCCTACTGTACCACTGATGTAACCAACATGTTTCATATTACGTAACCAAGAGATAGGCAGGAGTACAATCACCCAGATCAAAACCCAACATTCCAGGCGGATCCCATCATAGAGCTTTAAAGAGTTTTCACCGAGAAGTACTACGAGTAAACAACACGAGCCAAGTAAACCACCGTTCACCCCGAACGCGACGGCGACAACACCCCATCGACCGAAAGCATCCCTACCAATATGTTCATAGTTTCGGGTATTCGGCTTCATACAGGCACGTAACAGTTGAGTGTAGAGCGTACCAACGATGCCACTATAAATAAGGAGAGCGAATCCAAACGCATAACCAGCCCGCGAAACCGCCCCAGGGAGGCTGAGCATACCAACACCGACACCAGTAAGCACAATGTTGGCCACAGCATAAAAATTGGACTGCCCACCTGCCGATTCGAACTCAACCTTGAGCGTTTCAATTGACTCCGTCGACTGCGTGGTGAGCATGGTGATGAAAGATCAACTGTCAGAAAATTGGGAGTGACAACTTCCATACAAGGCACAATGTCGCTCTGACTACTCGTCATATGGGGATCATGCAGCAAACTGTTCGCATACAAAGACTGCCACACCATTTAAAATACTGTAGTCGATAATAGGTACACTATATCCGGTTGACGACACGATGGTATGGCGAGAAGGAAAGCTGCGTTGCGCCAATGGCATATCACTAATTTTCTACCTGATCTCTATGCTCGCTAGACACACTTATTCAAGGCGAAAACCATCCGCAAACCAGCAAACAAAACGTCTAAGCAGTTCTGATCACGGGAAATCAGATGGAGACATGCTGAGTGTGCTCATTGGGAAGCTCTGCCAGGGAGCCACAGGGCCGTTCAAAGTCTCTAGCAAGACCATTAGGAATACAGCGATCGGATTGAACCTAAATACCGCTTTGCGAAGCACTCATCATGACTAACACAATAGGATGCGGTGCCTAAACACAGCACCAGTCGAGTATTGGCAGTAGCAGCTCCAGCCAAGTCGTCAGTCTCAGTATAGGGTACGCAACAGAGTGGATCACCGACTGGGATAGCATCCCTGCAGAACTTTCTCTTAGCGCGTAACTGGAGACCGCGAAAAGAGCTTGTGTCCACACATAAACGCCACGAGCGGTTTATCAAGCTCCTACCTCGAAACATACACCCCGTCTACAACGAGCTCGCCCAGGTCAGTAAGAGGAGCGTATAAACCCTCCTTGTTCCGAGTAATTCGTATATCGCCTGCGATGTTCACTGGAAAACACATGACTACGTTGGCACTACTTATGCGAGATCGCCTGGGCCCGAAGGCAGTATCGACCATGATAAAATCTCCGACGTGCAAATCTGCCGAACGACGGAAGTGCTCCCCTCCGGCAGCCGTTCGGATGAGATGATCTACTGAGGTACACAGTTTGACTCCACCGGCCGTTGTTATCTCGATCTGAGGATCATCTTGCGAATGCAATCATACCAAATTCAGTCTAGCTGGATCCCGCCCTATGTCCTACATAGTGCATCTTCACAGCAACGTTCCTGTGGATCCAGCCAACCAATGTTGTCGAGGCACCACTCCCCAGGACGATGCTATCACCGACGGCGGCTTCCGATAGGCGTTTATAGATGTGCGCTATCAAGGGCCATTCCAAGATAGTTCCTCAGACTATAGGGATACCTCCGTCGGACGCGACCTTTACTATCGCATCGCCAGGAAAGCAGGCTGGTCGACACAATGAGCCATACTCGTCCACCTGTACAGGATATCTCCGCAATGAATCACGACGGAGTGGGAACTATTCGTCACATTCTCCAAGCCCTTGGCATACCATCAATTGTCCAAGAAGCTTGAGAAGCTTAGCACCCTGTTTGGAACGGGCCTTGAACCTCCGCTCGCGACACAGTACGAGCGCGTTGATTTCGGTCCGACACTCTTGAGAGCCTGAGCCACTTGAGGTCATAATAATCCATGACTCTAGTGCACAGCCCAGCTTACAGAACTTTCTGTGGTCCTCCGGCAGAAACGTACTACGGTGTAATTCTCCGCACTTCTTATCCTGGATCAAACCGCACAGACAATATGATACGAATGGATCCACATCCCGAAGGGTCAGAATATTGATATCAAGGTCAGTATCGCAGTAGACATCCACTGAACCTAACAGTGTGGATCGATCATTGAATCCACATAGTCAGATGACTGGGATCACTTGGAGAACAATGGTGCAAAAAGCATTTCGGTTGAGTCTCTCGAGGGGAATGGTTACTCTGGTAGACGAGGGAATCGAACAATATCGTGCAAGGTAATGGAGATAACTGAGCTCATAGCTGATAACCCGGACACTGGTCCGAGCTCTCGCTTTCCGTATCGGTGTGATAGACCCCAAAAACGTGCCCTCCGAGTCGAAGTCAGCCCTCGCGAACTGCAACACCTTGCACCGAATTCAGAGACCATCCGACCTCTGGCGAGATGCATACAACTCAGGGATTGCGTAATATAACGTGCACTGATTGCGCGTCATGCTCAATAACTCAATGCTGATGGCCGGAGTTGAATCTCCGTCCAAAAGCTTGTGACAGATTATCCTCAATAATTTCTCCATAGTGGAAACGAGCCAGTCGCTATGCAAAATGACATAACACGATAGTATTCATAGCAGTCATTACGCCTTTTTCGTAACACCTTGTTCGAAAATGGGAGGCCGGCTCCAACATGACGCGATTGGCGCGTCTTGCGGACATATAATGCGAAACGACGCGTCAACGATCGATGACTCCATCGAGTGTTAAGTCGAGTCGACTCAGTCTACTAAGTCCTTTTCCTCCCATTTTAGACGATTTTTGGATAACCAGGAAACTAAAATTCCTTGGAAGTCTTAGTGTAAACTTATGAAATCCCTGAAGATCTCAGATGATGAAATCATCCGCTAAGTTATCGAGAAAGAAAGCATTTTCTCGTTGGGAACCCCAATACCAAAACTCACCTGGATGGATGCCCGAAGTCGCGCTGCCCCATGACGTTCCCAATAACTGAAGACCAAGCCGCTACAAATGCTCGAGTCGAGTGGAACGAGTGAGACGCCGCGATCACCTCCTTCCGAATGGGTGAGGTATCAGAGGAAAAGTGTAATTGACCTGAAGATTGTACGGTGACACTCTCCAAGGTCAACTGAGCTTACTGACACCATGTACCAGATGATACAGAGTTAGCGACTGCGTGAATATAACTAGATATGGGCGGTGGAATAGCATGAGCAGCAAGACCTGATACCGGTTGAGTCTAGGGATATACCCATGACTCGTTAAGCGCGGGACCTCACTATACACCGAGTATTCAGAAAATCGACACGCGCTCAAATAGTCGAAAACTTCGTAGACATCCAAGACATCTTCGCACTCCCACCTCTGGAACACGCATACACCATCATGGCATTTAATGAAGCTTCTGGCAAGAACAACAGCGAATGGGGCATATCTCACTCAATGACATGAGAAACAAACCGCATTTCCTCGAATGTAACCCTCACGTTGGTTCCTGGGCACACTCTGCCGTAATTCCATCCAAGAGAACTCTTCAATAGGCCACTTACACGTTCGTTTCTGGCAGTACCTCCACTATGAACATCTTCCTACACAGCGTGCTGAATACATCAAGAGGAGCCATGAAGAAAACCACAAGCATGATTTATAGCACTAACTCAAGATAGGACTCTAGGAACACGAAACGGGGAAAGGACCAAGACTGCCCTGTAGTAAGCAGCCGAAGCGACAGAATAACAAGGCACGTGATGACCCTCCACATAAGCGTGTGTATTATACAGCAACAACAGTAATTGCAGTAGGTCGACGAACGAGCTGAACTCCGAACGCCGTAACGTACTGCCATGAGTATAAGCAAAATTACGAATCAGAAACGGAGGAAGAGATAACGTATCAGGATCGAGAATTTTGCGATATGAATGAAAACACGAAGTAACCAAAATAACTGAACTCTATGTTACGCGCATAGTTCTTTAATAGCCGCAAGTACACCGAACCCAGAACCTATGATAGAGATAAGCATCAAAACACAAAGAAACAATGTCGTCGATATCCACTTCGGCGACCCAAATATCTTCTCGCCCTTCATGCTGGAGAGACGTAAGTAGAAAACGGATGGGTATATGTTGTGGATAAGCGAAAAACAGATAGAACCAAGGAGATTAATAAGAGCTGAGAAACTGGGGACAAATATTGCTACCAGGACAGTAACAGCAACAAGGCAGCTTCTCAACAACACGGACCTAAAAATCTGATTACTCTTGATACCAACCCATTCCTCGAATATTCGACAGGACGGGTTCATCATAACAACATAATGGGTGGCACATACAATGAGGATACCAACGATACACGTGGTAGCGACCGCGGAGTTATTTCCCGGTACTGGAGCCATCGCGTTGATGATAGTATCAAAATGCAAGAGCTCTTGTCCCCAACCGATATAGCCTCCCAAGGAAGCTGCTAAGAATAGCAGTATCAAACAGATGAATGCTATCAAGAGCACCTTGGACTGTGCTTCTGGATGCTTCATATCTTGTAAAATAGTAGTTGTAGTACTGGTGACCGCATATGAAAACGTCAATGTGGAGAATGTCGTGCCCAGGCCTACTACTGAGATCGGCGCCGCTCGATACGGTACCGATGTAGTAGTTTGAACCCGTTCTTGAACGCCAGCAATAACGATCGTTATGAGCACCACAAAGACGGCAGCGACTCCCACAGTTCCGCTGAAATACCCAACTTGTTTCATCGTCCGCAAGCACGCGAGTGGCAGCATCACTGCGGTCCATATGAGGATCCAATATGTCTGGCTGATTTGCGGAGCTAGAAGTACCGAGTTTTGCCCAAGTAGTAGCATAAGCAAACACCCTGTGCCCACAAGGGCCACGTTCAGAGCAACAGTAACCGCCATCATTCCTGGGTACCCGAACGCATCTCGACCAATATCTTCATAATTCCGAGTACAAGAGTTCATACATTTCCGCAGTAAATGGGTGTCCAGGAGACCCTCCAGTCCACATGCGAGCAATAGGATGAAACCCAGAACGTAACCGGCCTGCGCTATAGCGCCCGGCAAGCCGAGCATCCCAACACCAATGCCCGTGAGAATGATGTTCACCACCGCGGAGAAGTTAGACTGTCCAGTCTCCACCTCGGTGATCTTACTGGTGGTGGAATCCGATGATACTGACATAAGAAGGAAAAAGCGACGTAACTAACTACACGGCATTGCATCGTCACTATCGAAATGTGATGTAGACCTCTACTACGTAGCATTCACTACTACCCCTAGAACATGCAATCACATGAAGGGTAATCGTAAGGCGACTCCATACCCGCATTAAGAAAGATTTTATCCCTTCGTTTCAGGGGATGCTCCCCGCATTCACACACTGCGAGTGGTGTAATCGATCCCCAAGGCGAGCGCGTTTTTACTTAGCTAGTAGTCAAGTCGATAGTCAGAGGCAGAGACAGGAACAGGTCTGTAGCCATCTTGGCTCAAGTTGTACTCTTGTGTTGATCAAGTCCAATGGAAAGTCCAATAACGGCATCGGGCGAGGCTTCCATCTGTTGGCGATCTCGGTGGGACCTCTTGAATGAGCAGCCAGGACGCCCGGAGAAGGACGAGGTTATCGACGTGATCTATGCCGCCGTAGACAAAGTCTTGGACTTGTCGGTGGACCAAAGGGTCAAATCACGAGTCGGAGCCATCATCAGGAAAGTCTCGACGGATCTGCAGAGCTACTATGAGGACCAGTTGCCAGAAGGGTGGAGACGTCTGAACGCGAATGAGCTGTTCGGTGATCTGATACAGACCGTCTTCAGGGAGGTCTATTGGAGTGTGCAAGATAGCGGATACTCGGACGATGGTGGCGCTCTTGAGTTAGCTCTCTGTATCTCGGCGCAGACTGTGAAGACTTTACTGAAGCTGAATACTGTTGATGGCTACTCAGAGTTGATAGCTGAGCTTGTGGGGAAGATGCGGTCGGATGAGAGCTCAGAGTTGAAGGATGTTGAGGGGGGAGCATCGAAGACGAAGCAACGTGATACTATCGAGACCAAGGTCGATGTGAATAACCTACCTTTGGTCGATGGTGCTCCGTGGTCCCTGGACAAGAAGACCGCCGACGGTAAGATCAAAGTCACCTATGATTGTGTGAAGCGTCGAATCATTACAGCTTGTGAGAGCTACGGATTGAGTGGGAGAAGAGCATGCTTCTTCGTTGTTAAAAACTTCGATGGAGCAGAGCGAACATTCGCTCAGAAAGCCCTAGCGGCGGTCCCAGTGGAGAACCAAAACCCCTTGGATGCCTTCTTTGGGAAGATGGATGCCAAGTACACCAACTACTGGTCGGAAGGGCGTGCCTTGAGTGAGTTCACCACTCTGAAGAAGCATCAGGGTGAAGACCCCATCACTTATCTTAATCGCTTATCCGAAATTGCTGACACGTTACCAATCAGCGAAGGTGAGCTCCGAAAGCAGTTTCTACAAGGGTTGAGTTCAGGATTGGTAAGTAAGCTGAGATCGTGCTATGGCCCTCGGTTATACTCGAAGCCGTTGGACAAGATAGCAGATAGCGCTTCATATTATGAGTCGGAGTACATGAGAGAACGAGTTGATAAACCACAAGCTCAGCCGAGTCGAGTGAATCCAGATGTACCGCCAAGAGGGAAAGGGCTACCTCGTGAACAAGCACAATCGACTGGGGGGGCCGGGACGGCGGCTACTCAATCGATCGGTGGGAACCGACCATCAAGATGGTCGAATGGTGCACCACGGTGCTATCTATGCTCACAAGTAGGCCATCTCAAGAGAGATTGTCCTCTGAAGGGCCAGCTGGATAACCGGAAGACCACTGAACCAAAGGACCGTGGTAAGAGTTCCTCCTCAACGAGCGAGGTAAAACAAGGATTTGTGAACGTCGAGATCGGCGCCAATGTCGTCGAAGCGACAGGCTTGAATGGTGAGGACGCCGCCAAATCTAATACTATACACTCCTTAAGTGGAGTGGACACAGTGCCTGAGTTGAAGTGTGACGTTGGGAAGTATGGTCGTTACAATCAGACAGCTCTCCTAGATACGGGAGCGGGATGCTCTCTCATCGGAGCAGACCTCGCTGCTAGGCTACATAAGGAAGGACGAGCTGTCGTCTTGACGACTCCCAAAATCATCCGTCTGAGATTTGCTAATGGAGGAGTCGAAGAGTCCGACCACGAACTGATAGTGCCCATCGGAGTCGAGAAGAAGCGAGAAGAAGTGACCTATTACTTACCATTCGTTGTATCTCGTACACTGGGGGCAGGAATCCTTCTTGGTCGTCGTGCATTATGTTTGATGGAAACCAAACTACGGTTCGGTGGGGTGAATCCACGTGAGCTTCAGAAGTTGGAGAACGTCTTCCACCAGAACGTTGTAAGTGAAGCTTCCCATCAACCTGGTGAGAACGGCTCCTTAGCAGCTGAGAAGAATACTGTCCAGCAAAATGCTGTCTACGTCCAGATCAACCAGGTAACTGATGAACCGGTGGTGTTGGACGAGGAAGCTGTATTAGAAGATGGTCTAGGATGGTCTAGTAAAGGAGTGGTCGAATCACGAGAGTGGTTGGAGAAGACGGTTGAACAAGCTCTCCCTCAACTCGATGGACCTCTTGATAACGATAGTGACATCGACATCGATAAGCTCAAAGTTGACGCGAAGAAGTGCCTCGATGAGCAGGTTCGAAAAGGATGGATCCCCATAAGTCGAGGATTCAGAGGCCGAGTCGCATCGAAGGCTGATATAATCACTCAAGATACCAGTACCCAAGCCTACCAATTTCAAATCTCGTGGGATGTCAACGATGTGGACCTACACGACAACGTGAGACGAGGACCATGGGATAGTTCGAGGCTTATCGGAGATCTATCACCATCTGAGAAAGAAGAATGGGATCACCAAATAGACGGATATGTATCTAGAGGGTGGTGGGTCGAAGAACCCTCTGGGCCTCCAGATGGGGAGAAGCACCTAAGTGCGACATGCTTCCCAGTGCGTCAATGCGCGATGAAGACGACTCGAATCCGCCCATGCATCGATCTGAGAAGGGCCAACGACCTTTCGCCGAAGCTGAAAGCTGCAGCACCAACTGGAGTGGGTCCGACGTCGATCAGTGATGCTATCCTGAAACTACGGAGTAGTCTCGACGCTCACAAGCAGTACCAGATAGATCAATATGATCTAGAGAAGGCGTTCTACTCTATTCGGATTCTACCTAGGTCAGCTGCTGACGGGAGACTGTTGAAGGTGTGGATCCGTTGTGGGTCCACGTGGTACAGTTCATGTTGTCTGGTCTTCGGAACCAGTGCGGGACCTCTTTCCCTGAACTACTCTCAACTCACCTTGCTGACTATCATGCGACATATGTTATCGAATGTAACCTCTCAATCGGTCTGGATCCCAGTGATGGATGACTTCCTGGTCGTATCTCCAATGAAGAAGGGATCCACGAAGGTGAGTGACAAGTCTAAGGCCTGTATGGAAGTCCTATGGGAGCTCACCGGCTTCCGAGCTCCTCAGTCGAAGAGGGCACGGTGGGATGCCAGCCACGAACAACGATGGCTAGGAGCTCATTGGACTTATGACTCTGAGACGGGTCGGCTATCAATGAGGAGGCCCACCTGCGAGAAGCCCTTGGAAGGAATGACGAAGCGAGCTGTATATCGAGCTGCTGGTCAGTTCCTACTCTTTACTCAAGGAGCAGCCGAAGCGATGAGTCGCTCCCATGCCGATTCGATGAGGCGCATCTCCGGAAAGTGGCCAGGTTGGGACACTGTGTGTACCGATACGGAACAGTGCAACCTGATCCACGATCACCTCAAATGTGCGCAGCGGCACTGGGTCGATTGTTCTGAAGAAGATCAGAACCTCTGTCTCCTACAGGAAACCACGAAGATTGTAGTCGAAGTAGACGGCTCACAAGAAGGCCATGGTTTCCTCGCCATCGACGCGAGCGAGCTCTCTGACGATGGTGACCGAGACCAGCTCGGTGATATAAAATCGAGGGTGGTGATCGCTGATGCGAAGGCCTTTAATGAGAAACATCTCGGATGGCATTGCAATCGGCGGGAGTTGACCGCGATTGCATTCGCCATAAAGCGTATCGATGACATCCGGTGCCTACTC